GATAGCTGTTCTGTGGCAGGCACAGGGGAGCAGACTCAGTGGCTAATGCAGAAATAACCCTACAAACAGATCACAAGGCAGCCTGATAAGAACAAGGCAATCTCTGTGTATGTACTAGTATATGGGGTGGGGGCTGTGCCTTGGGACACAGTACTGGAGCAGTAACACTGCGGGAGGTCAAAGAGGGTCAAGGAAAGCTTCATAAAGAAGGTAACACTCACCTAGAATCTAAAAGAAAGTCATAGTTTCCAAAAGGAAAAGGGAAGGGCATTCCAGGCAGTGGGAAGACCACATACAAAATCAGGGAGCTGAAAAGGAGCCTGTTTGGGGACCTATGAGGCATTGAGCACGGCCAAACCGTGAAGGAGGCTATGGGGGTGAGAAGGTGGGTGGAGATGAGGTAGGCATTAAGCAGGCATGGCTGATGCCCAGCGAAGGCATATGAGGGGCAGGGTTAGAGACCAGGATGGCACCTGAGTAAGCCTGCCCCACGGAGCGGGACTTGTCTTCTGCAGACGGGAGACTGCACTGCGAGGGCGGTGACAGGATCATGGCTCCCAGCAGGCCTGTGGCAGGTAGCCCTGGAGCTGTGACAAGTGTGGGGACAGAAGTGACCACTACCCCTTGCTGCAACCTCAGGCAAACACAAGGCTCACATCAAACGTGTGGGAGGCAGACACTTGCCCAAGCCTGAGCAAGTTCATTGTGGATTTGACACAGGGACTCAAAGGTCCTGGTTCCCAGCACAGGGACCTGGCTCTGAGCCAGAAAGTTCTCTCCCTCCTGGCCTTGCAGACAGTGAGGGTGAGAGATCTCCTGGGCAAATGGGCAGGGGGTGCCCTCTGCACCCCTCATCCCCAGGGCCAGTCCTTACCAGACAGGTTTGAGGTAGTTCCCAGTCAGGCGGGGTTCTTCCTGGTTGGCTGTAGTCAGCCCATGGGGGAACAGGTTTTTCCCAGAACCAGAGAGATAGGGGACCCACTCAGAGCACCACACTGTCAGGAGGGTGTGCTGGGCAGTCAGGTGGCAGGGTTGGCAATGGCCTCTTCCTTGTCAATGGACATGGCCCTCAGAAGCTCAGCCAAGTAGCTCAGCCAAGTAGCAGGAGGCATTTGAAAACAGTTTGAGGAAGAACACACACACACACACACACACACTCAAGCCAGCACACTGGTCATGTGGGCTAAACAGGTGTGAGCAAAGGTCAGGCCATTGGACACCTGGGGGTGTCACCTGACATTAGGAACCACGTTGCACAGAACAGGAACCAGCCTAATGTCTCCTCCAGAGGGGCATCCACTGTGCTCTTCTCCAACGTTTGCCTGCCAGATACCTAAGGATTTTCTCCAAGCCTCTCGGGGCCTCTGCCCACAGCACAGAGAGTTCTTCTAGAATACAGAGTCCAGTAGAACAGTTTCCCCAGATGAACTGAAAGGCTTGTGCTATTCTAACCAGGAGAGCCCAGTAATGGAGCATGCGTCCCCGTTTTGCTCTGGCTCCCAGGAGGCTCCCAGTCACATCTCATGCTCATTCACCACGATTCCACCGACCCTCCCAGCTTGCACACTTGCCACCCTTAAACTCTCCTCAACCCTCACTTAGAATTTTTCAGTTGGCTTAATCTGGTCACACGTGGCTGCGTGGTCTATCATCTCCACTCCTTGTTGGGAAGCGGTGGCAGGTAAATAAGCAATGAAATTTCATCAGGAAAGAGCGGTTAAAGTGCAAAGTCTGGCCCGCATTCTGCGGCCCTGGGAAGTCCCCTTTCGGTCACACCTTTATACCCCGAATTACCCGAGAACAGAGAACAGGGTGCTTTCCTTCCCTCTCTGATGCAGGAGGAGGTGGAGCAGCCCCCACCCCAGAGTCCCTCCCTCTCTCACCTCCTAGATCCAGCTCCCCTGGCCCACTCTCTTCCGTGAGGAGGAGGGACAAACTGCTTCTGCCTTCCTGCCTGTTTTCTGGGCAGTGTGGTGGGTGGGGGACCTTCTTTAACTACTTTGAAAGGAGGGGAGGGGTTGACGAAATCCATTTCAGGAATTTAACAATTCAGGTCACTCACAAGCACCTGAATTTCCTGAGACCACTGTTCCTGGAGGACCCAGGGTCTGGAGGCTTCAGGGAGATGCAGGCCCAAGACCCCACCCCTGAGCCAGGCAGTGGAGAATAGCGGTTAAAAGCACAGAGTCATGCAAACCTGGGTTTGAATCCTGACTCTGCTGCTTACTGGCTGTCTGACCCTGGGCAAGCCACTCTGGGTCTCTGAGCCTCCTTTTCCCCGTCTATGAAGTGAGAGAATAACAATACCTGTCTGTCAGCACCGTGCAGACCAAGAGACAATGTCCCCACAGTGTAACACCGAGTGTGGCGGACACGCTCAGGAATCTGCAGGGCTGATACTGGCATCAGAGCTGGCTCATGGAGGGCGGGGGACAATGTGTGTGAACTCCAGGGCTCCTTGCTGGCAGTGACACGGCCCTGGGGGATGCCCCTGTTCCCGGTGACTCCAGTCTCCCCAAAGGCCTGCTGGCTGTGCCCAGCTCTCTGCCCTGAGGGCAGAACTCTCAGCAGATCTCACAGAGTCTTAATGAACACAGTGTTTTCAGCCATGAACCAGGATAAAGAGACCATCGGAAAACTGACTTTTGCCCAACCAGGAAGCCAACTAAAAAAAATCTGACACGTGCCCCAAACCCAGTCTGATGACCACCCCCTAACACCACCAGCTCCCACCAGCTCCATCTGCCAGACTTAGATGCCTCCTCTCTGTCTCCCGTCTTTAGACTTTTCCATGCTGGAGTGTCTCCTACCTTAAATGGTCTCCATTCACATCTCTCCTGCCCTTCCTCCGGTAAAATAAATATTCCAGGGGCTGTTGGGAAGTCTTCCATCCAGGGCAGTGTTTTTCAAAGTGTGAGCAGCGGACTCCACCTGCATGAAGTTTCCTAGAATGTAAATGCCTTGCCCATGGCCTAGCCCAGTGGTCGGCAAACTCATTAGTCAACAGAGCCAAATATCAACAGTACAACGATTGAAATTTCTTTTGAGAGCCAAATTTTTTAAACTTAAACTATATAGGTAGGTACATTGTTATTAACTTAATTAGGGTACTCCTAAGGCTTAGGAAGAGCCACACTCAAGGGGCCAAAGAGCCACATGTGGCTCGAGAGCCGCAGTTTGCCGACCACAGGTAGCAGGACAGAAACTCCGTGGAGGGCTCCAGGAATCTCTTTCTAACAAGCTCCCCAGGTGATTCTGATACACACAAAGCACAAAAACAGACTATTTTGTCTTGAGTCCTCGCTGAGTGCCAAAGTCCAGCTAGGACCAGACCTGGAAAACTCCTGAAACAAAGCAACGGAAAGAACTTAAATCCCATGTCTCCAGCAGGAGTGCCTTATACTAATAAGCTGTGTTGCCTTGGGCAAGTCACTTTCCCTCTCTGGGCCCCTCTCTGGGCCTCAGTTTTCTCACCTGCAAATGAAAGGGCCAGGATTTGGGGGTCTCTGGGGCCATCCTGCTTTGACACGCTGGGACAGGCTCCTTTGTAGGGCCACCATGGTGAGAAAGGAGAATGGTGGGGGGCGGGGCCCAGATGTCCCATCACTGCCTAGGTGGACAGCCGATAGTTGCCACTGACGTTCAGAGGGGCACAGAGGTCTCAGGCCAGACAGGGGCCAAGCTCAGTATCCAAGTGGCCTGGCCTCGTGGGGAACTGTAAGGAGCCAAACACCAGTGCCTAGGCCTCGACCCTCAGGCCAGGGGCAGTCCAGTGCTGATTCCTGGCGAGAGAAGTGAGCACAGAGAGTGGCTCTGAATGGCAAGCCAAGATGACTGGATCAGAACCAGATTCTAGGGCCACAGGAACTTTGGTGAGCAAATGGGAACACCAGGCATGGGAAAAGGTGCAGCTTGCAGGCTCCACAGCAGACTATCTCCATTGCACAGCTCCAGGGGGTGCTATCTTACAGAATACCACGGGCATGGTGCCCCCTGGAGTTGTGCCACGTGGAGCGACATGCTGGGATCAGGCACCAGAGGCACCCCCGGGCATCCTGGCTCCTGAATGTAGGGGAGCAGGACGCGCTCTAGGCCCATTCAGCACTTTGGGGAGCAGCCGGCAGTTGCTGGGAAGGTTTCTCCACCCCTCCTGGCTGGGAACTGGAGGCCTGTGCTCCACTCGAGGAAGGTAACATAGGCTGGGGGTGGGGCCGGCTGAACAGGCACTTTCCTCAGATCTAAGTCTGCTCCCACCAACTACAGTGGCCCTACTCACTTTGCCCTCTGGGGCCAGACTGCCCAGTCCCTTCCCCAGGGACTCAGGATCACTGCCAAGAGGAGGGGAGGGCCCGGCGAAGGTTCCAGGCTATTCAAAGGGCTGGCCCACTGAGGCCCGGAGACCAGCACTGGGTGGAGAAAGAACTTCAAGAACCACTGAGATATTGTTCAGAGCACAGATTCCAAAAGCAAACTAGATTTCGTGCTGTGCAGCAATGCTTTCAGTATGATTAACTTAACCCTGAAAGAACCGGGAGGGGATCACTACCATTATCCCTTCATGCCCAAGGAGGTGGGACTTAGGAAGTCACAGGGCTCAACAGTGCCGGGTGAGGCCCCACCCACCAGGGGATGAAATTGCCAGAAATGGCCTGAGTCTGGTGCAGTGCAACAGGGTTCAACCACCAGAAGACTGGGGAGCAGTAGGTAGCAGAATAGGGGTTTATAAGAGGCCAAGAGATTTTTCTACCTGATCCTCCAAAAGGGGCCCTAGCTCCTCATTTTCCCAAACTCAGTCCTTCCCGAGGTTCACCCCTGAGAATCTCCGAGTCCCCCCAAAGTCCCAGGTGGAAGCTCTTGTGTCTCCTCTTTTCAAGTCTTTAGAAACATTCCAGATCAGAGAGGGGCCAGGCCCCAGCCTCTGTGTCAATGAGCTTCCCCAGCTAAATGTCAAGGGATCCCTGGGTGACGGACAGCTACTCCCAAGCTTTCAAATTCTCTTTATTAAAAATCATTTTTTTCTTTCATAAAAACAAGCACTTGCGGTCAGTTATACAGATCAGGAAAAATGCCGACAATTTATGGGACACTCAACGAATTCCAATACTTTACAAGTTCAAACTTCAGTTAACTAGTGTTTCTTCTTTTTCTCGTAAGCTCAAAAAAACAGACGCTGGTCCAGTTCAAGTAGAAACTAACAGGTCACAGCCTCGGACTTTCCAAGAAAGGGAAACCCTGACACTCCCACCGACATCCAATTTACCAAACTCTTTGGGAATACTGTCTGGATGTACTTTATTTCAGGTGTTTACCATGAAAATAAAATGACCCAGGCCTTTGGTGATATCAACCCAGGGAACAAATGATTGTTGCTCAAGGTAGCGGCTGCTCTTGAACAATCTTTGAAATGGTTGACAAACACTGAAGAAAAGCTTTAAAAAATAAATCAATATTTTCCTGGTTGCCTTTAATACTGCAGTGTGTATGACACACGTAGGAATAAAAGGAGAAAATTAGAGAGTGGTGAAGGACCATGCCAATGGAATTGTATAAAAATAAATAAAAATAAATATATATATATATATTTATATATATATACACACACACACAAATACAGATTCTTAAATGATTTGGTAACTGAAGGTTCTGATTGAATGCAGAGCGCACCTCTCCTCCCTCCCTCCCAAGAGCTCTCTCCAGTTTTGCCATATGGAGAAGGTCAGTCTGTCAGCAAGGGAGCCATTACTTTACTCAGGAACAAGGCTGCTTGAACAGCCATCCAGGTTTCCATGGAAACGCTGCTGGGGGGAGTGGGGATGAGCTGGTGGGGTCAGCTTCCCCTTTGCAGGGAGAAGACTGCCAGCCTCTTTGAAAATGCACAGTCCTAGCCTCTCATGAGGCCGAGGCTTTTCCCAGCAGCAAGGTTTGGCCAGGAGGCCAGAGAGCTGGCCCTGGATGTCCCTCCAGTGCAGTGGTTCTCAACCTTCTGGCCCTTTAAATACAGTTCCTCATGTTGTGACCCAACCATAAAATTATTTTCGTTGCTACTTCATAACTGTAATGTTGCTACTGTTATGAATCGTCATGTAAATATCTGATATGCAGGATGGTCTTAGGCGACCCCTGTGAAAGGGTCGTTCGACCGCCAAAGGGGTCGCGACCCACAGGTTGAGAACTGCTGCTCCAGTGGGAAGACAGACACACAGGGCCCAAGGTTTTCCGGGAAATGGAGGAGGCTGGCTTCCAGAATGCCAGGTGAGAAAAAAGAGCCTGTGGAGGCAGCCAGGGGACCAGTTCTGGGTTGAGTCACCATCTTCCAACCCTGCTCTGAAACCCCGACCTTTCTGAGGCCCTGGGTGGCCAGGTGCCAAGTTCAGGTTTCCTGCTTCCCGCAGCCTCTTCTCACCACACCTGTCCGAGCCCATCTGTTTCCTCTGACCCCAGGGTTCACACGTGATCGTTTTGTGTTCTACATTTCTTTCCTGCCTGTGCCTCAGTTTCCTTACTGACAAAAAGTTGGTGTCGAACTCAGATAATCTTTCTACCCCTCTGCCATTTAGTGTGGAGGACAGAATATGCGGTATAGTTATCTACCTTGAAAAGAAGAATGCAGAAACAAAAATAACAAAAAATCCCACCCAGAATCAATCTCTTCCTAGTCTACCTGCTGGCGGTCAGGAATAGAAACAACTGGGACTGTCTTCCAGGGGCAGAGCCAGGGAGGCCGCCTCCAGGCGAGTATCTCCGTTGTGGGAGTAGCACCAGGCTCTCTGAACTTCTCCAGGTCTTCTCTAGGGTGGCAGCCGAGCCTCATTTCCCCCAACACCATTGTCCCAAAGCCTTCCAATGGGACATCCGACTAGAGACCTGCAGTCCACCTGGGGCCTAAGGCACTGGCCTCCAGTGTCAGACAGCCTGTTGCTGGGGCCTAAGGCACTGGCCTCCAGTGTCAGACAGCCTGTTGCTGGGGCCTAAGGCACTGGCCTCCAGTGTCAGACAGCCTGTTGGGAGCAAGGGCTCTGTTCTTCACAGCATTTGACATCAAAGTCTGCCCCGGGGGGTCAACTCTGAGACGCCCTTGACCTTCTGCCAAATCGGAAAGGGCCTACCTACAAACACCAGCAACCCTCAAATGCTCTTCAGTCCTGCAGCCTCCTTTCCCTCACTTCTCTGCCCTCCACCCCCTACCCCCCACCTCCAAGACACCATTTAAAACCATCCCGCAGTGAGGCTGCTGGAGCCCAGAGTGCAGGCGCCAAGGGTGAGCCACGGACAGATGCCATTTCCTTGTTTTGGTGACACCCATGGCAGGGAGGCCGCCATTCAGCCTAAGCCCTTACCAACCGCTGTTTCAGTGGGAGGGAGAGGGTGCTTCTGTGTTCACCTTTAATTAGAGCGAATCTATACCAAACTCTCTGTCCAGGACAGACCGAACCCTGGCACCTCCTGAAATCAAGTGGAGGGGACTACGTTTCGGGGAAATGATCGGAGCTTCCAATTCGAAGGGCTCATTTCCTCCCCCTGTAAAATTCACTTAATTTTACTGTAAGGCATGAGCCTGGTAGACATCTAGAATAACTGAGAGGGTGAAGGAGTTATTCATAAAATCAGGGCCTTTTCCAACAGGTGGTCCAGCTGGAGGAGCTCCCAGCTTCTGCCAACGGACTGTCGAAGGGGCCCCTCTCGGGACGGGAGACCCCACCCAGATGCCCGCGCAGCGAGCCAGGCAGAGACACGGCCCAGGTTCACCGAAGCGGTTCTTGACCCAGGAGTTTCCGTGAAATCTTTTCCTTGGATGACTCAGCCTGGCCTGGCCTGGCCTAGCCCACCAAGAAGTTGGACACTGTGAAAATCCCTGAGAAGTTGGCTTTTATGAAAAGAAAACAACCATTGGCACGGAGGAGGGAGAGAGGGAGGGAGAGGGAAGAAGAGAAGCAAATGAAAAGACTGTCTGAAGGCAACGAGAGTGACAGGGAGAGAGTGGGCGACCCTGGGGGGTGGGGATGGGGGGCTGGACACACAGGGTGAGGCCTCTGGGAAACACTCCAGAGCATTTTCCTGAGTCTCTGAGAATGAACTAGGCCCCGTGGCCAGCCTGGTGTCCTTTCCTCTCTGGCGTGAGTCCCCGTCCTGGCGGGCAGGAAGGCCCCACCTGGGCGGGCCCTCCCTCCCAGCTTCCAACAGGCCCAGGGTGTCAGAGCTTTTTCTTTTCAAACTGGGGCACGATTCCGCTGTCCTCGGGCCGCGGGCTGCCGGCCCCCTCCGGCTCCTTCAGGCCCTCCTCGGCCAGCTGGGACAAGTATTTCTGTGGTGGGAGAGAGGGACACAGGAGGAAGGAAGAGGGTCAGTGGAGACTTAGCAGGACAGGACAGGACAGGAGTGGACAGTGTGTGCTTGGCCTCCCTCTCCTGTCACCCCATCTAGTGAGTGAGACCCCTCATCGGCCTCCCCAGATCCTGCTGGGGCCACAGCACCCAGGATAAGCCATCTGCTTTCTCCCCCTTTAGGTCAGGGTACAAGGGACGCGTGTCTCCCGTAGCAAACGTAGAAAGTGCAGCTCCTCACAGTGGCAGACACTTCCACAGCCCTTATCCCGTGCAAGCTCTGTTCTCACTGCTTCTCTTATCTACACTCGGTTAATCCTCAGGACAACTTTCCTTGTTTACCAGCAGCCCAGCATCCAGGCAGCACATCCACGTGTGAGGGAAGAGGGAGGAGGGGGAAGCTGGAAGGGCCGGGGAGAGAAATGCTGTCCTCTAGAGATGGGGGCAGACAAAACCGCCGCCTGACATTCGAGACGCCAACAGCCTGTTTCCTGCCAGGCAGGCGGGCAGGTGGAGTGGCCTGGAGGTTCTTCCACAGACTCTCTGTCCTATAGTTGGGCTGCCTCACAGAGCCAGGACTCTCACTGCTGGGACTGGCCCCCAGCCACACGCTGGGCCGCTCCGGGGGCTCTGGGTTCATCACAGGGAGACAGAATAGAAAACGTCAGGGCCTCAGCTGGGCCCTCTGCGTGCTGGGTAGCCAGGGGCCCTGCAAACAGCCCCGGATTGGGAGCTGGCAGGGGTAGGCCCAGCACATGGTCAAGTGTGTGGGCTCCGCTGTCAGGTGACCTGGGTTCAAATCCTACATCTCAACAGGCCAGTCATTCAACATCTCTGACCTCTGTCAAGTGTGGGTCATATAAATTGGACAATTTAGGAAGTTTAAACTTTCAACGATCATTTGGCTCCTTTGCTATTTCATTTCTAATGCAACAGGATTAAATGAACTTTGATCTTTGTTTTAAAGGTTATTAAAATTGTGTGTATATACATATGGCTCTTGAGGACACATAGCTCTCACTACACTACAGGATATGACCTCCGTGTAGCACATATAACACTGCAGACGGGTTTTCCCGAGTGCGTTATACTGTAGATTACATCTCCACGTAGGGTGGAGAGAATGACCGATCTATGTTTATCTCTAAAATTGCAAGTTAAGTACTGCTTTGATTCATTGTTTGCGCTGGAATTTTTTTCTCCCCATGAAATGTAAGTAAAACTCAGTGTTTGTCCCCAATAAATGATAAGACTAAATTTTTTTTTGTTAATTTATTCTCAAATGTCACTACTGCTAGTACTTCCAACCTGCCCCCACCCTTTTTTTTTTAAGGGAAAAGGAAAAATTTGTAAATGCTTGTGATGCCATTTGGGCAAATTCTGAAGATCTGAAATAACTTTATATCAAACCTTTGATCAATAAACGGCTACTGATAATAAAAAAAAGTGTGGGTCATAATGGAACGGCCACATAAGGTTGCTGTGACGTGCAGGAGAGGGACCATAAAGCACTTAGCACAGCGCCGGCACCGAGTAAACACTCAGAGATGCTGCTCTTTAGCACGAGTGGCACCAGTCATCTGGCTCAAGAGAGTCGCCCATCTTCGCACAGCCTCAGACTCCAATCTGTTAAATGGGGGAAACCGTGTCTTCCTCCTCCCAGGGTGGCTGAGGGGCAGAGAGATGATGGGCACAGGATGCCTGGGTCGGCCTGGCCTCTCTATGGGTGGCTTTGAGAGGTGGGTGAGTCAGATGGGAGCGGGGCAGACTGTGCATCCCTGCAGGCCAGGCTTAGGTGGAGGGCCGGGATGCTCCTCCGCCTCAGCCAGGGAAGGGGAAGGGGAGCACAGAGAGGCACGCGGGTGAGTGTGCCATGGACGGGCACATGCCTCGCTGGCCTGGAGCCAAGCAGGTGTCGCGTTTTCCCATCTGGTACTGACTCCACCTGTTGTTCTGGATCTCCCCGGGTGGGTTCTCTCAGGGCCGGACCAGCAGTGAGGCACGGCAGGGGTTACACAGACAGAACTCCTTCCACCTGCTCCCTACCTCGAAGAGTAATATCCGATCCCCACCTCAAGGCCTTCCGGGGGTGGGGGGGTGGTGCAGGCTACTCTTACAAGCTGCCTGACTTAGGTGTCAGCCAGCACCTGCTCCGTGGGTCTGAGTTCTTCACTCTTCACACGTATAACTTGGGGCAGGGTGGGGTGGGCAGGCTATGTGGACAGAGACAGTGTCAAGGTCACTGACAGAAACCCTATCTGGGAAGCCTGTGGTGGAGACTCCCAGCTCCCTGACAGGTGCACTGGGAAACCTGAACTGTGGTTGGCAGGTGTAAGGGGTTAGCCACTGTCTGGACTGGACACGCCAGGGACCATAGGAATGGCTCTGCCCTGCTGTGGGAGGTGAGTCTGCCCGGGAGGGAAGGGGGTGTCTGGCCTTAAGGCCCAGAACACAGTGTAGTCCACTACCCTGGAGAAACACAGAATTTAGAATTAGAGGCCCTGGCACACTTTCTAAGTTCCTGGGTGACCTTGAGCTATGGGGTCTAGCTCATAATGTTGGATGATATCGAAGTTTTTACATTGGGGTATTAGAACCCACTGGAAAGTTTTTTAAAATTCAGATTCTCATGTCCAGCTCTAGAGAGAATGAATAAGGAGGTATAAGGTGGGTACAGGAAGCTGCATTTATAGAAGATGCCAGCTAGTATGAGGACCCAGGTTTGGGAAAATCAGGACCAGGTAATCTCCAAGACCCCGCCCAGCGATGCCATTCTATAGGTTTCATCTTGTTGGGGTGGGGGATGGTGATGTCTTCAGGGTGGATGGCTGCCCTCAGTGACTCTGTGTGAACTGTGAACCCAGTGTGAGCTCTTAGTCTGGCCAAGTCAGGCCCTCACTGCCCTCCCCCAGGAGGGGCCGGGACCTGGGCCTCACACCCCATGGCTTCCTTGGCCACAGAGCAGCTGCTCTCTGGAGAGAAATCAGGAGGCTTAAATGCCCCGAGTTTGGGCACAGCCAATGACAGTCCCTTGCAGATGGTGGCCCAGGCCATTATGGGTCTCAGTTTGCAGGACCAGCTTCATAGAGTAAAAAGAGGAAAGTGATTAAGAATCAGGTGATCTGTTTCCAGGCCTGGCAGCTCACCATCTGTGTGGTGTCGAACACATCCCATAGCTTCTCTGGGCCTCAAATATAAAACAAGAGAATTGGCCCACATCTGAGTTTCTTAACTAGGGGTACACTTCTAATCATTTGGAGAACTTTCTCAAATTACATATTCCTGGGTGCACCCCCAATTCTACTGAGCATCTGAGCTAATGTATATGCTTCTGAAACAGCGTCCAAGTGATTCAGTTCACATCTCGGCCACTCTACCAATTTAACTGTGACAGTAATGCCTGCTCTGGAATTAGGGCACGCTACCACCCTGAGGGTCCTCCTGAGTTACGACCTTGAATATCAAGAATCAGTCTGATTCCTATAGCAAAAGATATAGTAAAACCAAAGATACCCCATGCTTTCTGATATGCCATGCTTTCAATTAAGTTACTAAGCCCAGCTTATACCAGAAGTTAATTATAAAAACCACTTTCTAATATGTTACATATTAGTTAGGTGTATATTACAGAGCATATTACAATATTTCATTGATTTTTAGGATGTTTTTCCCCCACAATAACATCTCTGAAATTGAGGTGCATTTTACAGTTGATGGAGTCTCACTGTTTAATTTTCAACATTTTTTTCTTGGTATCAAAAAATAGCGTGTCTTACAACTGATGGCACCTTAGATTGGATGAAATATGGTACATGGAGTATTTTTTATACATCACCGGTTAATATACTATAAAACTTATTTTATTTATTGCTTATTTCCTACACTAGATTGGAAAATCCATGAGGGCAGGGTTTCTGTCTGCATTTTTTTGTGTGTTTTTTGTTGTTGCTGTGACAAATAGTTGCAACGTATGAACATTTAAAACAGAGGACAGTCGTGGCTTTTAGTCTAGCAAAGAGGGGCACCGCACAGGGGAACAGTAACACAGAGAAATCTCTGCGTCGGGAACACCCAGGCCTTGTGAAAGGGGTCAACCCAACCATGGGCCAGGTGAACACGAGCTCAAGTCACTCAGGATAGAGGGAGAGGCAGGTACAAAAACCTGGCCCGACAGAATGTGTTTAGTGCCACCGTGGAGACTGATGCTCTCAGAGAGAGGCAGCCACCGCGTGCAGCAGCCTGGTGGAGCCAGGTCTCCATGTGGTGAAAGGAGAGAGAAACTCAGAAACAGAGACTCGAGAGCCCCCCAGTGCCAGGCCAGGACGGCCCGTGGTTACCTGTAAGTTCCTGTAATGGACAGCACTGCGACAGTGGCTTATCTTCGCCATCTCCTCGCTGGTGTAGAACAGCCCACACAGCTTGCAGTAAAACCCGGTCCTGGGTACCACGAACTCCACCCCTGCAGAAGGATGGGGGATATGTGGGTAGGCAATTAGGAAGGCGATGGGAGGCCCCTGAGGTCCTGCAGCCTTCGGGTGGAAATGGGGCAATGAGCTCCGCCCCTCATTTGCTGTCGACTTTGGGGGGTGACCTAGGTTCTCCAAGCCTCCGTTTCCTCATTTGAAAACAGGCAGGAAGAGGGTAACACCCACTTCATTCACAGGTGGCTGTGAGTGGAAGGGGTGGCCGTGCTGAGCAAGAATACGCTCTGCAGCGGCCTCTGGGAACTAGGTCCAGGCTCTCCTGGTCCCAGCCTGTTTCTGGGGAAAGGAGGAGGGAGGAGGTGTCATTCATTTCACTAGTTGGATGTCATTCCTCTGTCATCTACCCCCTCTGCAGCGGTTGTGGCCAGGACTCTGGAAGAATGCTCGCATATTCGCTGGTTTATTTTAGAATGATGTTCACCAGAGAAAACTTTTTAAATAAACAGAAGTGAGGAAACCTCACCCAATCTTTCCAATCAAAACATTTTCTTCCACACTGTCTACAGGTAGAGCCTTCTTCGGGAGGGAGGGGGCAGTTTTAATTACACCCTAAGTGCAATGTGTCTCCTCCCTTTTTCATGCCCTAGTGCCGTGGTTGACAAACCGGGGCTCGTGAGCCACATGCGGCTCTTTGGCCCCTTGAGTGTGGCTCTTCCACAAAATACCACGTGTGGGCGCGCACGTACAGTGCGATTGAAACTTCGTGGCCCATGTGCAGAAGTCGGTATTTTGTGGAAGAGCCACACTCAAGGGGCCAAAGAGCTGCATGTGGCTCGAGAGCCGCGGTTTGCTAAGCCGCAGTTTGTCGACCACTGCTAGTATATCATAAACATTGCCCCCCTTTCTCCAGTCTTTACATCTGAACCATCAATTCACAGTATTTCATGTGTCATTTTTAAGTCCCAGGATTCTGGGAGGCCTTTGGATTCTAAGGAAAGAAAACAGTGGCCCGACAGCCAGACAAGTGAGTGTCGTAGCCCAGGAAATTCACCTTTGAAGGACTGTGGAGGCTCTAGCCTCCACCATGGTGTTTTAGGGGCGCAGTTTCCCTCTCGAAGACACTGCCAGCAGAGTGGGAAGATGAGAGGGCACAGACCTGAGCACCTATGTGACTGGGAGAGTCAGCTGACCCTCTCCCTTGCCTCAGTTTCTCAGGCACCTGACTGCACGGTGCCAGCTGGAGAGCAGGGCATGAGGGCTGAGAGGCAGGACCCAGCACGGGACCAGGGCCCACCCCCCCTGCATGTGCTGACACTGGGCTTTGCTGCAGCCACAGCCGGCTGGTTAGCTCCCACTACCCTCCTGGGGGTGGGCGGAGAGCTGGCCACACTGGGAGGAGGGAATGGGGGGGCTGGTTAACCGCAGGGAGAGGGGGTGGAGGGTGAGGAGCGGGGGCAGAGGGGACAGGGAGCCTGGGAGGTCACTCCAGGGAAGCCGGGAAGCGTAGCTTCTTGCAGAGGGGGACCCAGGCCAGGCCTCTACCAGGCGCTGCATGTGACCCCAAGTCTGGGGCTTCCTTTCCTTTCCTCTGAGTGCCCAGGAGACCCCATCATAGGGAAGCAAAAGCTTGTAATTACAACTTATTTTTCTATTTTAAAAAAAGCCACTTTTCAGTGTGGAGGGAAGACCTGAGGGAGGAGGGTGCCGAGGCCTGCCCACTCCTGCCTGGACGGATTGCTTCTCTGCGGTTCCGGCCTGGGCCCCTTCCTCCCCCAGTTCTCTCCAACTGCCATGCACACACTGCCCTGCCCTCAGCCTCAACTGTCTACAGCCATCCCCAGAAGGGAGGCCGCCTCACTCAGGCCTCGCTGCCCAGAGGGAGGCTGAGTCCTTCCCTCCTCACCCTCCGCCCACTCTCCCTGCTGTGCCTGGGAGTGGGCAGTTGGCCCTTCCACCTCACAAGCGGGCCCTGGCTGCTGCTGCAGGGAGCAGAGGCTCACACAGGACAAGATAAAGGCAACTAGAAAAGGAGAAGCATCGCCCAAGACCACGGGAGCAGACACAGGCCTGTGATCAGGGCCACCCCAACCCCTCTGCCCTGTCCCGGACCCTGCAGGGTCGCCAACTGGCTGGCTCCAGGAAAGCAGCCTTGGGTTTGCCCTGCAGACCCTGGCTGAGGCCTCCAGGATGCTCCAGGTTTCCCAAGAGGCCTCCAGCCCCTGCCTGGTCCCCAGCAGGGGTGCGGCTGGCTCAGCAACCAGCACAGAGGCCTGAGGTGGCAGCCCGGCCCCTTTCAACCCAAGCAGCACAGCTACCGCCTGTGGTCTCCCGGGCGAGATTTCACTTCCACAAAAGCTCCCATTGCCAAAGAGCTTGGAAGCCACAGCATAGTGGGAGGAAAATGAAAGTTAGAGTCAGACAGACCTAGCTCTTTTCCTTACCCAGTGTGATCTCAGATACATTACACTGTTCAACTTTCTTTTCTTTTTTTAAAATATATTTTAAATCGATTTCAGAGAGGTAAGGAGAGAGAGAGAGAGAGAGAGAGAGAGAGAGAGAAACATCAATGATGAGAGAGAATCATTGACAGGCTGCACACCCCCTACTGGGGACTGAGCCCACAACCCGGGCATGAGCCCTGACTGGGAATCGAACCATGACCTCCTGGTTCAGAGTGTGACGCCCAACCACTGAGCCACACCAACCGGGCTACTCAACTTCCTGAGATGAGTTTCCTCATCGGGAAAACAGGAGTAATCATACCACAAATGGTGCTATAGGGAAGCACCTCTCATTTTGCCTGGTGCTCAGAAAACCTGTTTCCACACACGTTAAACATTTCTCTACAGAGGCCAACCTCCTACGCATTTGCCTTCCTGCCCTCCATCCTTTCACCGGGCCAGCCCGGGGAGCCAAGACTCCACGGTTTGGCAGCAGCTCTCCTCGATGCCCTGCCCAGCGGCCGGTCAGAAGTACCAGGCAGTGGAGAGACAGCACTGGGAAGTCTGACGGAGAGGATCCCCAGATACCTGGTAACTCCCCCAGTACCTGGGAGTTGCCACAGGCACTGGGAGGCCAACACGGCCTCCGGTCGCCTCTGGAATGTGAGAGCCCAGGGAAGCGGCAGCATCAAGAAAAACTGCCACAGCCCCGACAGGTTCTGGAGCCACTTGGTCCTCCCGCTTTCCAGCCTCTTTAAGTGCAATAATTAAAGCTGCATTTGCCTTCTAAGCCTTCTAATAATAGCTCCTGGCGGTAATTACAACTCCGTCATCTCAGCGAAGCCTGGGATGGGTGGAGGGGAAGCTTCTTTTTGCAGGCAATGCCCTTTGGTTCTGGTTAAGAGCAGGCCTGGGCAGGCTCGCACTGCCTGGGGTCACCCAGACCCACCCCCACCCCCCATGCCTACCCCAGTCACTGAGCAAGGGGACTTCACCTCCCTTTCCTCCTCATGGTGTGCCCAGACCTTGGCACTCCTCATTCTGCCTCTCTGCTCTCCACAGGGACAAAGCCAGGAAGTCATTCCCACCTTTCTAGAAGTCCCTCTGCAACAGCGGCCGATCCTGGAGGGTGAAGGGTTATGCAGCCCCAGTGAGAGGAAACATAGTAGGTCTCAATAACTCCTTCAGGAAAAACCCTTTCTAAGTACCTCCCACTGGAAGACACTAAAACCTCACAAGTATTCATTCATTTAATCCTCAAAATAACCTGGCATGGTAGGCTCCTCTGACTTTGCCTGATGCCTGATTTATAAATGAAAAACGCCAAGCAGAGAGGTGAAATAAGCTGCTCTTTGCCCCCCGCTAGCTGGGTTTGAACCCAGGGAGTCAGGTTCCGCAGTCCATGCTCTGAACCATAGCATGCAATTACCTTCCCTACACGGCGCCTGAACTGGGGGGAGAGGTGGGCAGAGTGGTCTCAAGTTAGAAATCTTCAGTTCTGACCTGAACTCGCCGTGTGGTCCTAGGTAAGTCTCTGGGCCTCAGTTTCCTCGCCTGTCAAATGTGGAAAATAGTACCACACACCCCTCCCCGCCCCCAGAGATCAATGAGATCATGGGTTTCAAAGTGAATCGAAGACGATAATCAAGTACGAAACTACCATTTTTAACAGCGCCAAACCGAAACGACCCAAATGCCCATCCACGGATGAATGAATAAACCAAATGTGGTATCCACAGTGCAATACTCCTCCACAATAAAAAGAAACCAACTGTGGACACGCCCAACAATTCAGAGGAATCTCAAAACAATTACGCTGAGTGAAAGAAGCCAGGCCAAAACAGTCATACCGCATGTTCCCTCTATACAAAATTCTAGAATGCAAACTAGTAGTTAGCAACCAAATTAGCATCAGTGGTTACCTGGGATTGAGGTATGAAAAGGGAGGGTTTTCAGAGGAGTATCAGGAAACTGGGGGTGGGGGGGAGAGGGGGAGGGGTGATGAATATGTTCATTATCCCGATTGTGGTGACGATCTCACAGGCATATACATTTGACAAAACTAATCAGACGGTACACTTCAAATGTGTGTACGTCACTGTACATCAATTACACCTCACTAGAGGTGCTTCAAAAATCAGAAGGAGATACCACATTCCTCCTAACAGGTTGGTGAAAATTAAAAGGTAGTAGTAGCCCTAGCCGGTTTGGCTCAGTGGATAGAGTGACAGCCTGAGGACTGAAGGGTCCCAGGTTCGTCCGGTCAAGGGCATATGCCCGGGTTTCGGGCTCCATCCCCAGTAAGGGGTGTGCAGGAGGCAGCTGATCAATGATTCTCTCTCATCATTGATGTTTCTATCTCCCTCTCCCTTCCTCTCTGAAATCAATAAAAATATATTTAAAAAAAAAATAAAAGCTGGTAGTATCCAATGTTGGCTGGGATGTGGAGAATGAGAACTTTCACTCAAGGTATCAGTTAAAACCGGTGTAATCCTTCTGGAGTGCAATTTAGTAGCAATTATGCACATCTAAATTGCAAATACATATGACCACACAACCCCCAGGCCAGGACGCTGCCCTCCAGAAACACTGGCACACAGACAAAGGTGACAGCTCGCCTAGGAGGTCGCAGAGCACACAGGCAGCCTGGTCCTAGAGTGAAACTACGGGGATTGAAATCCTGACCCCAGTCCTGGCCAATCTGTAGCTTTGTAACCCTGCATGTCATATTTCTGATCTGGGAAACGGGAATAAAAATATTACCGGCCTCATAGGAGTTTTCAGAGAGCTAACTGAGATAATACATGCAACACACCAGGAATGGTGCCTGCATGGCAAATGATAAAAGCTAAGTTATTAAAGCATTTTAATAATAGGGGGGAAAGATTTAAAACATCCTAAGTATTCACCGGTACAATGGTTCAATAAGTTACAGTGCATCTTTTAAGATGGAGTATTTGCAGTGGTTAAAAAGAAGGAATTTTCTATGTACTGATATGAAGAGACCTCTAAGATTCACTGTTAGATTTAAAAAGCAAATTGTTGAACATTATGTATATAGTGTGATCCTATTTTTGTGGGAGGAAAACTCTTTGAGGATATGACAGTGGCTGCCTCTGGAATTGGGGAGAGGCTGGGGGAAGAGATACGACATTCAATCTTTATGTGGTTCTTAGTTTTAAAATTTGTTACAGTAATCTTTCACACTTTTTATAACGAAAAACAATAAAAAGATACAAATTATAAGGTAGCAGATTTTGTTCTTATTTTTTGCTTCTGTGTGTCAATTAGATTCCAACTTCTTGAATGACAAGAGACTTGTGTTACATTTCTCTGTCCCTCCCCGACCCCTGGAGTACCCAGGACAGAGCCGTGCACACAGTAGGTGCTGCTGACGGACGGAATGCATGAAGAATGCATGGATGAACTGTCTAGCACCTTTTTCCTGAAAGGCGGCCTTCACCACTATTTCCCAGAGTTACAACACCCAGGCCCCTTGTGCAGTCAACTTAGTTCATTCTAAGGTCAGTGTGTCTTCTTTTTAGTTTTTATCCTGAGGCATGCTGGAGGCTATGCAGCAAATTTATCCCTTAAAAAAAAAGGACATTTTCTTTTCCATCTGACTTTATGAAAAAGATACACTTGGAGAACAGAAAGAATAAGAAACTTTTTTAAAAAATGAAAAGAAAAAGAGAAGCATGACGAAATGGGTGACCCTCCATACTGACCTCCCTGATGGAGCAGACACGTGGTCATTGGCAGTGGCCATCACATAGCCCATACTTCGCCTACTTCCTGATGGCACCTTCCCAAGCTCCTCTCTGAGCAGCTGCTACTCCTTTGTCTCACCGCTTTCCAACCTTTCAGAGTCAACGCAAACACTCAAAGATGATGCTGGCTGAAGTGGGCGTCGCTGGCTTAGCGGTGGTGTCAGCAGCTCCCACGGTCCTTCTTAAAGGACCTTCACTCCCTACCCTGAAACTCTAGTTAACTCTCCTTTTCGAAAATGTGTCCTAGGTGCTTCTATTACTAACCTCCCTCCCTGCCCCACTCCAACACTTCGTTCTGCCATTGAAAAACCACCGATCTGGTCCATTTCCACATTACAGAGGGGGAAACTAAGGCCCAGGAACGCCCAACCCATTGCTCTGTGTGAGGCGGTGCCATTCCTTTGCCTGGGAGCTAAGCCATCCCCCCCTCAGTGTCCCCGACCCTGCAGACCTGCCCCTCTCATGCCACCAGCTACTCCCCTGGACAGAGGCCTGATCTCTATTCTGCCTCTGGCTGGGTTGCCTTCCCTGGCCATGTGAACCCTGACAGTACCTCCCACTCCAAAACTCTCTGAGAAAAGTATCTCTCTCTCTCTCTCTCTCTCTCTCTCTCTCTCTCTCTCTCTCGTTAGTTGACTTATTACTAAAGGGCTTAAAGTGACTGGGGGAAAAATACCCCAAAACAAAAACCATTTCTGGGCACGACGTGCCTGAGGATAAGCACTCACCCAGTAAGTGGAGAAGGATGGACCCAGGTCCCTCTCGGTTCAGTGCCCCCACAGTCAATTACATAGAGCCTGCCCCCCAACACAGCCCATTCAGCATCATGGCCTCAGAGAAGCTAATCACCCTCAAGAGAGAAGAGGTAGTAGCCCTGTTCCGGGAAGGGCTGGGGCAAGGACCACAGGGAAGACAGAAGCAGCGCGGCCGTGGGGCCTCTGCTTCCCTGCCCGGCAAAGGGCTGCGGGTCAGGAAGAAAGACTTTCCTGGCAGGAAAGCAGCCCCCGAGCTCTGGCTCCCGAGGAGTGCCATTCAAGGCCCGGTCCCCAGCGTCTCTGCTCTCCTACGGGAGCCTGCCATTGCAAGAGGCTTTAAGGTAGCACCTTGCCAATGTGGGTTATTGCATCAGACATGGACCAAGTGTCAAGCTCTTAGGCGAGCTCTCACTTCCTGGGGCTGATTCTCAGGAAGGACCTACCGAGAGGAATGCTAAGTTCACTGAACACATCCTCCGGTTCCCAGGAAGGCAAAGAAAGGGGCTGTTTCAGCTCCACTTCCGTGTATTCCGGTGACCGCACGTCCAGGGACTTCATTTCCAGGTACCTGGAGTTTTCTGCAAAACATGAGCCAAAGCAAGGAATTGATGAAACACAACATGCCTCCGCAAACCCCTGAAATGCCCTTGGCCGCGCTGCGGGATCAGGGCTGGCCCCTGGGACTGCTTCATTACACCGGGCCAGGGCCAGGACTGCTCGTTAGAACCCGAGCACTATAACTGAAGAGCTTTTCCCATTGCCAAGAGAACGCCACGCAGGACAACGTGGCCAGTCTTGGCATTGGGCCCGGGGGGAGGGGAGGGACTGCTGATGCCTTGGGTGGGGATGATCCGCACCCATTCCCCCCAACTCCGTATCACCCCATCTCTGCAGGAGGAAGAATTACTGACGGGCAATTACATTGTGCTGACGTCCACAGGAGCACCGACTCTGCTGGGACAGGCCATGCCTTTCTCTCACCCTATGCTCATGTTATTAAATATGAACTCCAAACCCTGGGTGAGCTAAAGAGCCACGCATGCCAGTGCATGTTGAGACCTATACCATGAAAAAAAAGTATGGGGGGTGTTCCATTGGAGCAAGGTGAACGTTTCACTCCTTTATTCTTGGCCTTCTCTGGATACAGCCCAGGCTCCGGCGTTTCTCTAGCAACAAGGCAGCACATGACAGGGTTTCCATGGAGACTCAGAGCCACGCAGGTGGAAAACAGCTCAGGTCAGCCTGACACAGAGGAAAGCCCGAGCCCAGCTCCCGAGCGCTGTGCCAGCACGGCACCGGGTGGGGATGTTTACTGTGACGCCTCTCCCTTAGTCTCTGCTCCCCCACTTCAGCCTGTCCCCCGCACTGCAGCCTCTCAAAGGCTGCAGGCTTTCTCTTCCCTGGGAGGCCGTGGACGGCTACTCCCCCTTCCTGCCCCCCCGAGCCCTGGATGGATCTTAGTTTCCACTTGGCAGAGAGCACAGGGCTCAGCCTATTTTAAACTCTGTTTTTCATGATGTCATAGTGCCAGGCACAGACACAGCATCCCCTCCGGCGGAAGGTCCCGGGGCGAGTCCTGCCTCACCATCAGACCCTGGAGAAAAGTGGGTCTGAGGCGGGAAAAAGGGGGACGGGCATGAGCCCCTCATTCTTCCCCCTGCCCGCTCCTTCCTGGGCCTCCCACTGTCTCCCCCACCCCCATCCCGTTCCCCTCCCCGAGGCCTCACAGAAATAGCAGCCTGGGTGGTCCTCTGTCCTGTAGACAGAGACCGGCTGGCTGCCCCCGGGAACTTTGGCTGATAATTCAAAACTTTTGCTAATTTTCGTTGTCAGCGTCCATCTGGGCTCCCATAAATTCAGAGAAGCCCGCCCTATCTGAGTTTGCTTCTCAGAACACATGTGACCTCCTATCTGATTTCCTCTGCACCATTTGCCTAAAAGCTCCAACAGTTTAACCAGGCATTTAGCAGCTCACTTTCTGCACCCGCCTAAATGCTGGTTGAGACCTTACTCATGTCCGTTCTGGCCCACTCCCTTCTCTAGGTGAGCGGTGGCCCCATCTGCCCACGCACACAGGAAAAAAGGGAGGTAGTTACCCTGGGTCGACACTCCTCGGCAAGCCTGGCTTTGAGGGTCGGTGTCGGTGGGGTGGGCAGCTTTCTCTTCCAGGGGGCTGCCTCCACAAGCCCCATTCTCGGGAGTCCCCGTGGCCTTGCTGTCGTCAAGACACGGGCTAGGCTGCCGGGCCCTCTCCTCAGCTGGCTTGGGGGAAGACATTTGCTGGAGTGTAGGGGACAGACGAACATCTGAGCTCTCTGCTCCCTTTGCCTGCTTCTCGTAGCAATCTGAACCCTCCAGCGAGAGGCCAGTCTCGCATTCAGCTGGCTTCTGCTCAGCCTCCAGATTTAGGCCAGGCATTTCCACGTCCATGTCACTGGGACAGCTCGTGGGGGCAGACGGCCCTTCTTTGGGAGACTTGGGGCTGATTTCCGCAGCCCCGTTACCTATGGTCTTGACGCCCTCCTTGGTGAAATCCTTGGCCAAGTCCAGGTGTAAGGCGGTTGTCACACAGGAACACATTTCTGGGCACAATTTGTCCTTCTGGTCAATGGGCACGATCTCTTCCAGCTCTGGGATGTCCGGTTCCATGATAAAATCTTCTTCTTCCCCCACCTCGTCCACTGTAACCAGCTCCTCCATGTTTGTGGGGTACCAGCTCTCGTCCTCTGCTTCGCTTCCACTCTCCCAGTCTTGATCCTGAATAAAAACGCAGGACGGAGGTCAGAGGGTGGCTGAGGAGCAGGTCTCGGTCTTCCACCAGAGGGCACGAGCCTCGACCCCAGGTCCCCTCAAATCAGAGCAATCCTGAGCATTCTTACCTCTACCTGGGAGCATTTACTGGGGACCACCCGAGTCCCACATCACTGATTCATTCCTAGGATGAGGCTCAAAACCGAGCACAGGATTTGGAATAAGCCCTTAACGCTATTCTACTGTTTAAAGTGACACAAAGCATTTCGACTACTGGTACGTAATAGGTGCTCAATAAACGGTTTTTGGATGGATGATTAATTTGTAAACTCTAAATAGCTCAACTTGTTTGGGTGATTTCCTTGTATGTAAAGCATCACTAAATGTAACTGCGGCAAAGTCCCCCCTAAAATTCCCCCAAGCACCCTCTCCCAGCAAGGGTGCAACTTCCACAGCCCGGCTCATAGTCGGCCCCTCCTGAAATTGTTCCCCGTATCTCCAGCAGACTATGGGCCCAACAGCCAGATTTAGGAGATTAGCTTCCTGGCCAGCGATACCCATCCCTCCGCCTCTCCTGACCGGGAAGGCACGAAGCTGGCCACATTCCAGGGACATTTCTTTGAGCTGTGGCATCCCCAGCACTCTAACTGGGTTTTGGTGGGTTTTTTTCCACTTTGATTGTGTAAAATAATCTTTACGAGCACAGGAGATGGCTTGTTAATCCCAGGGTCTGGGCCTGCTGAGGTCATGGCCCCAGATTGAGTGCCCAGAGCCCCCCTTCCTGTCCCAGCCTCTCTCAAGGGACCTGCCTATTTTGGGCACCTGGCTCTGAAGCCCGAGTCTTTTTTGGGGCACATGTTTTCTCGTATGAGCGCAGCCAACTTGCTGGAGAGTACGGCAGAGCCCAGGCACGCGGTCAAGATCTCCCCATAAGGAGCACACAGAGAGAGCAGGCAGAGCCGTTCCTCCAGGACGTGCTGGGACGCGGCTTCATTCATGGAACCACTGGTGGGCCCTCGAGCACGTCCACAGAGCAGGCGTCACTGGGCGGGACGGGGACTCTGTAGCCTTGGTCCCCGATGACTGTTGTGCAGACAGGGCTACACTGTCGGCATCTGCGACAAACTTTACCTTCTTTGTTCTTGTATTTTCTGGATCAGAGGACTCTGCTTCTCTCTCGTGCCGGTCCACCGACGGGGGGCTTTCTTCCACGTCCCCCTTTCCGACCTCGCCAAAGGAAGAACAGAACAAACCAAATCAACAGTCAGCCGCGGCAAAGAGAGAAAGGAACACCGAGAGAAACAATGATACTGAGCACCGCTACCTGCTGCCGGGGGTGTTGCACATACCTTTCTTCTATCCTCACAAAACCCCTCAGAGGCAGGGGCTCTTATCATCTTCATTGTACAGAGGAGGGAACTGAGGCTCAGAGAGGTTAAGTAACTTGTTCAAGGTCACACAGACTAATGGAGGCCCAGAAATCAGAAATGCCTTCATGGCTGGACGGATACCTTTAGGAGGTTGGAAACCCCTGGCAAACGGGGCACTTCTTACAGGTGTGAAACCTGGACACAGTGAGGGTGAGTAGAGGGCCCGGGGTGAACTGACCCTGGGGTGAACAACCATCATGGGGACATCTCCCCAACAGATCTGTCTTGGCCATAAAAAATCACATCCAGCCCATTTGTGGGTACGAAGGAGGTTGTCACCTGTCAGTGGCCCTCTCACCTCTCTTGTGCCCTATCTCTGTTCTGGAGCGATAGCCCCAACCGGCCATCCCTTCTCTTCTCCCTTCCTTCTAATGCCTCCCTCAAATTAAGTCGCTCATAATGGTGCTCATCCGGGAAATGGAACAACTGAAAGCAAATGTCTGGGTTGCGAATTAGGGTCTCTCACCAGCCTTTAACACAGGGGTCAGCAAACTATAGTCCTCGAGCCGAATCTGACCCAGTGCCTTTTTTTATAGTCTCTGAGCTAACGATGCTTTTCACATTTTTAAGTAGTTGCATTTTAAACGATCATATAAGTACCTCTATAATATCTTCCAGTTTCTCCTTGGTCCACGTAGCCTAACATAGTTACTATCTGACGTTTTGTAGAAAAAGACTTCCAACTTCTGCTTCAGAAGTTTGGGGAGGATATTCTCCAGTGATTTAAATTTTGGCCACCAAATCAATGACTATTCCTGGGGGCCCCAGGGGCAAGTTGCATTTTCTCCACATTTTTGGCCGAGGTTGGTTTGAAGTAAATGACTTCTGATTCCTTCAAAGCAGACACACCCCTCCAGAGCTGAGAGGAGCCAGCTGGGGCAGGAGCTCAGAACTAACTGGTTTAACCAGTTATCATGGGGGGCGGGGGGGCGGGGGGAGGAGACAGTTCAAATCCTCAAGTCCTTATTCTTTCAGTGTTTGGAGCACAAAATTCCACCAAAATCCCTGCTCACGTCTTTGGAGCTAACCTGAGTGCACAGCAGGTCCAAATGCCATTTTAGCCATCAGAACCCATAGCGTCTACCAACAGGGGATGGCTGTTCTTTATTTTTCTCTCTCTGAATACATTATCCATGGCCTTCCCTTGTCAAAATAAATAACCTTCCCCCTTCCCAAGCGGTTCCTGCAGCCACTCCTAGGTCAACACAGTAAGGAGAGCCTCTGGTTCATGCTGGGAGGGGCAGGGCGGCCTGGCCCGGCCGGAAGCCCCCACCAAGCGGACCCTGCCCTTCCTCCCTGCACACACAGCAGACAGGGCAGTGCTTTCCACGCACCCCTGGCCTTGGAACAACTTCCAGGTGTCAGCAGCAGCTTAAGGGGAACAGACACAGGCTACCAATGCACCCACGGCCCACACCAGCTCATGGACCAAGATACTAGGTCCCAATTGTTGCAAGCAGGGGCTCTGTCCACAGGGCCATGGCCACCACTAAACCTCCTCCTAACCGGTCTCCCCCTTCTGCTCTGTAACCTCCTCCCTCCTCCCAAGTCTATTCTCCCCAAGGCAATCAAGAAGGATCGCTCCAAAATACAAAATCCACCATATCCTCACCGCGTCTCCTGCTTAAACATCTCATTTGCCTCCCCCTGCACTTAGGATGAACAGACAGCCTTCACCCGCCTCTAAGGCCCCTCAGGACGTGGCCTTTGTTGACCATTCTAACCCAGTCCCTCTGCTCCAGCAGCACTGGCCTCCAGCCACTGGGCCTTTGCACATGCTGTTCCCTCCGTCTGCTCTTCTTCCTTTCCACCCGGTAAATATCCACCATTCCTTCAAATCTCAACAGTCACATCCTAACCTCGGGAAGCCTCTGATTAGTTCCAGGCACTGACAGCAACGTATGCCTCCATCTCCTTCTTAGCACCGAACACGCACACTCTCCTGCTCATTTGAGGAATTATTTGATTAGTCTGTCTTTCCACTGACCATGAGCTCCACGAGATCAGGGGTCATTTCAGCTTCACTCACAACCGAGCGCCAGTGCTGGGTGCTCCATGGAGACTGGTCGGTAAAAGAATGGAGGTTGGCAGGAGCGGGTGGAGTGAATAACAAGCTTGCACCTGCCTCCCAGTGTGCTTGGGTCTCTGTCTGGGCTCTGAATGGAGAATAAGTGGTTTTCCATTTCTCCTTCCCGTGGATTGTTTATACCCATGGCTGCATTCTGGGCTCCATCTGTCCCCAGCATGTTTTGGTCTATAGTTTCTCACACGTGGGAAATTTCAACAGATGGCTGGGCTCTGGCCTTCCTCTAAGGAATAGGAGCTCTGACAGTCCAGGCGCAGGGGTCCTCAAACTACGGCCTGCGGGCCACATGCAAATACAAATATTGTATTTGTTCCCGTTTTGTTTTTTGACTTCAAAATAAGATATGTGCAGTGTGCATAGGAATTTGTTCATAGTTTTTTTTTAAACTATAGTCCGGCCCTCCAATGGTCTGAGGGACAGTGAACTGGCCCCATTTAAAAAGTTTGAGGACCCTTGGTCCAGGGCATGCGCTCCGGGACGGCAGACCCAGGATGGAGCTGAGCAGTGGCTGACTGCTTGCTCCCAACACAAGGCACCTCCTCCTTGGTCTGCCATGGTCCCCTCTCTCCACCTGGCTTCACTCATTCCATCTGCTCTGGGTCACCCGCCTGGCTTCCCTCCCTAGGCATCTGGGTGGATAGCCCTGACTCCCTCCCAGCAGGTGGAGGAGTGCTTCTCTCCCACGGTCTCTCCAGCCACGGACTTGCTTTCTCTCCTCCTGCCTATGGTCTCGCAGGCAGGGTGGCTCTCCTGCGTGGACCTGGCCAACCACAGCACCGAGAGCACAGACGCCGGCTTCGCCAGCCCGGGCCCTTCTCCAGAGACCCAGAGGGTTTCTGATGAGCACACGCTCGTTAAAGGCCTACCACAGCCTTGTGATCACGCCATTTCACAACCAAGAAAATTGAGGGAGAGAAGAACAGGGTGTGACCTGGTTCTCAGAAGCCAGGCCTTGGCTTCCAGAGTCCGGGTCCAGTCACTCACTTCTTCAACAGGCACGCACTGAACGCCCACTCTAACCTCAGGACGAGGGACACAGCAGTGAGCACAGCAGACAAACATTCCTGCCCTCATGGGCATTACACTTGGAGGCGGGGGTTGGGGCGGGGCACAGACACTACATAAAATAAATAAAGGCGTTAGGGGATCAGTTAGAAGGAGATGGGTGCTACCAAGGAAAGGAAAGCAGGGAAGAAAGAGAAGTGTGTCGTATGATTGGGGGCAGTGGCCAGGATAAACTTGTGGGGATGTGACAATGCCTGAAGACAGAGGTGAGGAGGGACCCACATGGACTCAGGGGTGCGCCCGGTGGTGGGAGGTGCCTGGCATGTTAGAAGAAAGGCAGGGACACCTCCTCAGCCCCGTGGCCTTCATTCCCAAGTCCAGTCCCTCCTGTCTGTAATCTGAGCCCTGGGCAGCCCAGTGGGGATGTGGGTTGTTCTCAAGATCACAACATAGAGCTGAGATCAGCGAGGAAAACTCTGTTCTGCTAGTATTCCACCACCGCGTGGTGGGCCCCTGGCTTCAGACCCACAGAAGAAGTCTGTTGGGGACCCCTACTAGTCCCTACTGACCCCACTCTAGGGCTCTGAGGGGCAGACCAATTAGAGGGACAGAATTGTGGGGAACCCACAGGGCTTTCTGAATCTTTTCTGCATGAGGGGCTCTCTGGGTGACCTACCATGTGTGTCACCTTAAGGGGGCAAGGGTTGTGCGAACCGACGAAGAGTGGCTACACGGCAGGAGAAACAGTCTCTAAAGAAGAATCTCAGAAGTGTGGGTCGGAGTGTGAAGGGGCAGCTCCACCCCTCTGCGGTGGGGACAGATGGTTCCAGACTGGAGGCATGAGCCCGTGCTCTCGGCCCCTTGGTGACTTTTCTTGAGTCACTGACCTGTCACCAACACCTTGGACATCTCCAGGTATATATGGTTGGCCCTCTATCTGCAGGTTCCTCATCTGCGTATTGAACCGACCTCGGATAGAAATTCTCAAAACTGAAGTTAGGTTGTTGTTGATATATACTGCATCGTTGCATCTACACTAAACATGTACAGACTTTCTTTTCTTGCCATTATTCCCTAAAGTGCACAGTATAACAACTATCCACATAGCATTTACGATGTATTAGGTATTATGTAAGTAATCTAGAGATGATTTAAGAATTCATGGAAGGATATGTATAGGTTATATGCAAATACTGCACTGTCTTATATAAGGGATTTGCAGGGGTCCTCAAACTACGGCCCGTGGGCCACATGCAGCCCGCTGAAAACATTTATCCGGCCCGCCGGGTGTTTTTGCTGCCGCTGCCTGTCCTGCTTAGCAGCCGACTCGTCCCGGGCCCGCAGTGCACATGTGTGGAATATCTGAGGGACAGTGAACTGGCCCCCTGTTTAAAAAGTTTGAGGACCTCTGGATTTGAGCATCCTGGGATCTTATTATCTACAGGGGATCCTGGAACCAGTCCCCAGGGACACTGAGGGAGGACTGTACACTCTTCTTAAACACACCCACTTGTTCATATGTCCTCAGGATTCAGTTCAAGCCCTCAGCAGGCCACACGAGGTCCTTCACGTCCCCTCTACCCATCCCCCAATCTCCTCTCCTGATGTTCCCCCTGCTAGGCCAGTCAGGACAAATTGTGGCAACATGCAGTGGGCAAAAAGATCGCGGGGTGTCCTTTCCATGGAATGCTGGCCATTTACCAGAACGCCCTTCGGGTATCTGGTTCTGTGAGAGTCTGGACTTGCACTTGAACTGAGCTGCTTTACAACCCTGTAAATGCAGATACCTGAGAGTCGTGCAAGTGATTCTTGTCCATAGAGATGCAAAGGAATTCTATCTGGTTTCAGGTTCTCCATGGAAGAGGTCAGCTTGCCTCTGTTAGCAAATTCATGTCCACATTCCTGACTGCCTCTACATGTTGCCTGATCTTTACATTCTCCTCTGAGCTGGCTTTTACATCTTACTGGTTCCCTCATTCATTAATGACTTAAATAGCAGCTTGGACACGCATTCATTTTATGTTTGCACGAAAGCCAAGATTTTACTTTGTCAAAACATGATCCTTTACTATGCCCTAAAGATGCAGTCATGTGGAGTATCTCCAGGTTCTCCAGCCAGTCTTTCTCACTTTTGCCCTTGCTTCTTCCCAAACTGTTTCCCCCACTTTCAATGCTCAGCTCAAAGGTATATCCCTCTGTGCAGAGCTAACTGCTCACGGAGCAGCTCATCTGCTCCAGCCTGGGCTCCACTGTCTGCAAATCGTTTTTGTAGGTCTGCTGCCACCATTAGACCTTGGTCTCTGCCTTAACACAGACTGTGTCTTATTCACCTCTGGACCGAGCACACGACCTGCAAAGTGGCATGCTAACGCGCTGGCCAAAAGTGTGACTCTCCAATGTGCATGGAGCTGAGAACTGGGCTCCTTATTTGGACTTAGCATTGTCACCACCTCCTGGGTCAGACTAGAAGATATGCGCGTAGGATATTCCAATCTGGGTTCTCTGTGCAGACCCCTCAACCCCCACTGTCCCACTCCTACTGAAACACAGGTAATTCCAGCAAGAAGGAAGTGTAAGCCAAGTTAGCACATAAACCTTGCACCTAGAGTCCTCCTGCTCACCCGCTGGGTGAACTGAAGTCACATAGCAGGTTATGAGGCCTTTCAGATGCTTCGATGACAGATGCCAGCCAACTGCTGCCCATCTTTATTACAGTGGAAGCAAAACACGGTGGACAGTGGCTAGAGAGACACACCACGCTCTGGGCACCCTGTATAATTTATGGGTGGTGGCTGCTTCTCCTTTACCGCCTCCCTTCCAAGTCCCAGGATTGGTAGATGCTTTTGGCAAGAGAGAAGACAGAGTGGACCGAAGATCTAATCTCCCTTGGCAGAGTCTGTGGGTGCAAACACCTCTGGGCGCTCCACCCTGGACAAACAGGAACACAGAGGCCTTTGCATCCCGTCCCTCCCTAACTTCTAGTAAAGGCAGCACGTGCTATGGCATTTGGCCACCTACGTGTAATTGCAGCTCTGCCATTTGCCGGCTGTGTGTCCTTGGGTAACTCACTTAAGCTCTCTGTGCCTCCGTTTCTCCTCTAGAGTAATAATAACATTATTAATATTACTACCTCATAGGGTCGCTGCAAGGATTAAAAGACTTGATTGAGAAAAAGTCTTAAACACAGTGCCTGGCACAGAGTAAACACTCAGTAAGCGTTTCATTCATTCAATAACTGTTGATCATCCTGATAGTCCCTTTGTTACCCGTGGGGACCCGCCTCTGCTTCCCTGGGGAGGAGATTACATCATTACCTCGTTCTCTGCCATTCTGCTTTCTTTTCTGTCCTCAGCTCCTTCTTGGTCTTTGTCTGGTCTCCTGGTTCTGGTTTTCTCACTCTGCTTCGACTTGGTGCTCTCAGGGGCCCTGGAGACCCTGGGCTCCAGCCCGTCTTCCTTCGCCGCATCGTCCGGGTGGGGGTGTCTGCTCTCCCGCAGCCTGGCCTCGTCTTTCCTCCTGGACCTCCCATCCTGCTGCTGCTTCAGATACTTGTCCGATTTGCCTTTGGGCTCTTTCCGGTAGTAGCCGTCTTCCCGGCTCTTGTAGCTTGATGCAGAGTGGAGAGGGTTGGGGGACCCAGACCTGGGGTGCTTCTCTCGATGGCCCCTCCCTGCGTCGAGCCGCTCCTCTAACTCGGCTTTGTCCAGTTGCCTAGGGTAGTGCTTGCGATCATGTGCCCACATGTCTGTCCGGTCCCTCTTGTCCTCCCCGTTCTCCCTCCAGGGGGCCGGCTCCCTCTCTTCCTCCCTCCTGGCGTAGGGGGAGTGCTCCCAGGAGTCCCGGCCATTGCCCCAGTCAACCCTCGAGGGGCCCAGAGGACTGTGGGAAGAGCTGCAGGAGGTGAAGCTTGGCGTGTGGGACCTCGGGGACAGTGACCGGCTCACGGGACTGCGAGATCGAGGCCTTTCGGGGCCGTATCTGTGAGGGCGCAAAGGAGGGGGTTTAGAATCTGCACCCCTCCAGACCGTGCCCAGATAACCCCAGTCTGTGCACGTAACCCCTTCGGCCAGACACTCTTTATCATGACGCTTCCTCCCTCCGGCTTCTAGGAGCAGGGTTTTCCCTGAGCGCAGCCCTGCTGGCTCTGCTCCTTCGCCCATCCTGCTCCTGGAACTGGGATGAATAATCAGGCTGGTTTGGCTCAGCCCCATCTGTCTCCCTCTTGGAAATGAGCTCAGCTCTCCTGTGGGCGTGCGGGTGGGGGTGTGTTCGAGGTTGCCCTGCTCCGGCCTGGTGGGCAAGGCTGCCTGGCCCTCAGGTTCGATGACTGAAGCCACTCCCCCACCTCTGACTCTATCAGCAGAAAGGGGACCTCTAGGCCTCCGTTTTCCTTATTTCTCATCTCAATTTGTTCAGATCCGGGGCATGGAATAAGGGCGCTAATGGCTGGGGGGCGAGGAAGGGAGGGCGGACTCAGAGATTCAAAAAACGAAGAACTGGGAAGGCATTCTGGGGTTGGCAGAGACCTGAGAGCACTGACCTGGTCGTTTTTCAGATGAAGAAACTGAAACATAGAAAAGGACCTGGACCTGCCTAAGGTTCCCAGCAAGGTCTCCTAGGTCACCCCGCCCCTGCCCTCCCGCCACAGAACTGCAGATGGCACAGTATGGCTTTGCACATGTAACCCAGATAACCGTGGTTTAAAAAACAAACAAACAAACAAAAATCCCAAACTGAAACAGCTACATACAAAAACATACACGTACCCATACTCACTCACACTTTCTCTCTCTCTCTTTCTCTCTGAAGGTTGTTTGGTTATTTAGCAGGTAAACTGAGTCACATACCCCATATTCTGAAAACATGGGCAATTTTCATTTAGTTCCCAAATCCAGGAAGACCATGCAGCCCTCACTGACCAGGGGACACGGAGGTGTGGCTCCCTAGGACCAGGCTAGGCTGCCTGGACCTCAGGGGAAGCAGCCTGGCTCAGCGCCCTGCAGTGATGTCAGAGCACCATCTGTGGCCGCCCTGGGTAAGAACCACAAGACACGCAGGCCAGGTGCCCACTCCTGCTGTTCTCCACCTTGGCTCTCTAAGGGAGGGACCCCCTTTGTAGGGCAGCGACAGTGGCAAACTTGTAGCCCCAGCTCTGTGCAGTCACAACTTCAGTTGGAAGAAATAAGTTGGAAAACTGAATGCATTCAATGTTCAGAGTGACGAGTCATGTAGCTGCTTTTAGGGGGGGTCATCTCTACTCCTATTCCTATATCTACATTTAGCCATGAAAAATCAAGAGCTGCCTCTAATTAGAAGACACACACACACACACACACACACACACACACACACACTCTTTCAGGCTGTTTTAGCAAAGTATAGACTTGCCCCTAAGAGCCAATTACCTATAGTCCTTTCTAACAAAGGAGGAACAGCTGGAAGGAAGCTTAGCATCTTGCATTATCCTGAGATTTAACCTGAGCAGCACTTCTGACTCATGTGTGCCATTGGGCACATGGAAAGGTAGGGCGCAGAGAGATTGATGGACAGGGCAGGGGCAAGGGCAGGGGCATGACTCAAATACTCTTCAGAATGAGAAACAGGAGAACGTTCCAACTGCCCAGCATATGCCCTGCGATCTAGGACCTCACCTGTCTGCTTCCCGGAACATGTCCCTCTCCCTCTGGGAATGAATGTCCTGGATGATGGCAGCCACGTTTTTCCCAGGTTTCTAGACAAAGCGAGAGAGGTCATCAGACCAGAGACAGCCTTGCAAACACCAGAGGGACGCAGGTAGGACTTGGGTTCATGGTCCAGTCCACCAATGGGGAAAAGTGCCTTTTAGGGAAGAAAAAGGTTTAATAACCCAGGGGATGAGGAGTAGGAGCATAATGCTGAACATTAGTGGGCTAAGTGGTTGAGGGAACATGGTGTCCATTGAGCTGGGAGAGGAAGGAGCACATTTGTGTGCTGGGGAAAGTCTCTCTCAGTTCATCACATCTGCCTCCCACCCATTCCTGAATAAAAGAAAATATCTGAGATGTAAAGGGAAGTAAGGGAAAGAAGGAGGAAGAGAGGAAGAGAGGAAGGAAGGTGGGGGCCAGGCAGGCATTGTAACTTGTAAAGAGACTTGAAGATCGTTGAATGCAGCATCCACATTTGACACATGTGTAAGCTGAGACCCAGAGGGATGGAGTCAGAGGTCTCCTTGCACAGCTCCAGGGTCCCCAGCCATACTGTGTTCCATGTAGATGGTGCCTCCTGGAGTTGTGCTGGGTCAAGGAACACGTTCAAGGTCACAGATGGTTCGAGAATCAGGACTGACAATAGGCATTTCAACTCCAAGATCCTTTCCATGACCCATGCAATACCTTACTCCAGCGTGTTCCTCCACAGCATGGTGCTCAACCTAAATTGTGGGGTGGGCAGCGTAGGCTGTGAGCCAGGATTCACAGCTGAGGGTGCCAGGCACCCAAAGGCCCCTCCTATTTCAGAAATCACTATTTGGTGGCTGTGCCAGGACAGGACCAACCCCAGCCCCCAAATCCTAACCATGCCCTTTCCTAAACCCAGTACAGAAAAAATACCAAAATAATAAGAAATAAACCATTAGCCCTAGCCGGTTTGGCTCAGTGGATAGAGAGTTAGCCTGTGGACTGAAGGGTCCCAGGTTCAATTCTGGTCAAGGGCACATGCCCTGGTTGCAGGCTCAATCTCCAGTGTGGGGGGTGCAATAGGCAGCCAATCAATGATTCTCTCTCATCATTGATGTTTCTCTCTCTCTCTCTTCCTCTCTGAAATCAATAAAAAAAATTTATATAAAAAAGAAATAAGCAATTAAAAAAAGAAATTGATGGACACAAAAGAAAGGCAAGCCCATCTTTCAATAGGCTACACAGAATCCATCTATTCCATTAAAATGTATGGAGCAGGGTGAATTTTATGGTATATGATTATATCTCAATAAATCTAAAAACCCTTGGTCTGTAATGTCAACTTTTGACAAAGAGTTTTATTAAGAAATGTAATCAATGGCTGTTTTTAATCCTTGATGTTTCTCTGTATGTTTTACAAAGAATTGTGAACTCTCGGAGCTACGTGAATGTTAGGTATGATCATATATCTCATTTTACAGCTGGGGAAAACAGGGCCAGAGGTATGCAGTGAATACGTGATCCAGCAGGAGTAGAATTCTGAGTCCTCCAGCACACGGCTGCTTATCTGTGTTAGTGTTGAGACTGAGGGTTGGGCTCGGAAAACACAAGTCAAGGAGAGAATGAAGGAGGTGCCTGTGGTTTCAGGGAGAGGGGTCAGGGCTGGGACACAGGAACGGGATATGAAATGTTCAAGCCAGGGAGGGATCTCTGGGCAAGAGGACCTTCAAACTGCCCTGACAACTTTCTGATCAGTCACTGGAAGACACTGGATTAAATGACTCCAAGTTCCCTGCTGCATGTAAGATGCTTTGATTCTGGAGAAGTCTCTATAGAACCAACCAGAAAATAATTCCGTTTTCCTGTCTGGTCTGTAAGAAGAAAAACACTCACTTTCTATTGTTCCTAGAGATTTTCTCCTTCTCATTTATTCCATGCACTTGTTGGACACCTGTTATGGGACAGGTTCTGCCCCAAATGCCCTAAGAACTAGAACCTTCCCCACAAAGAGTGTGTAGGGAGATAAGATTACGGCATGAAGAAATATTCAAGACAGGAGATGGGAAGTACCTTAAGCCCTCTTCTTTCTCCCCTTCCACTTTGCCTGGTGAGCAAAAGGTAAGGTTAGAGGAGAAAAACCAATCAAAACTTCCCTCCCCCTCAGCAAGCCCTGGTGGTACCCCATGTGGTGGCTCCTTTGGCCCTGACATGTTTGGATATATGCATAAATATAGTGTTTTACTGTCTACCTCCCCAGTAGCCATTCCCCTCTCTCTACCCCTGCTCCAAAGATGCAGCAGGTGAGAGATTTCACCAATCACAGCATAGCTGTCCCCTGACCAAAGAGATTGGTTCCAGGAAGGACACGTGTCCTAAGGGACCCAGGTGATCAGAGTGCATCTCAGGACTTCTGTGGGAGCCACTAGGGAAAACTCTGGCTTGCTCTTGTTGAAGGAAATGGGAGGGTGGGAAGCCAGAGCTGCTGAAGTCAATGACGCCATCACGCCACCTAGAGGAGAGAGCCTGGGGCTGCCAGGGGCATCCCAGGGAGACCCCAAACAAAGCCAAGTGAGCAGGATGCAGCATGGAGAGAAGCCAAGTCCTCATGCCATCACTTGGGCCCTGATTCCAGCCATACCTGAAGCCAGGGCTACTCCTGGACTTTTCATTTACATGAGCCAATAAATCCCCCTCACCTTTTGAAAACTTTAGTCAATATGTTTAATTGAGACAATTTTCTGTTCCTTACAGAGAAAGTTCCTTAGGGGGCATAGTGCAGGCACTGCTGTGGAGTTGAAACATGCTTTGAGCTGCTTTCTCACAGAGGCAGTGTGACAGCTTGGGGAGCAGGAAGCCCTTATGAAAGGTCAGATAACAATGCGTCCTCGACCCATTGCTGCTCAAAGTGCTGAGGTCCAGCTGCGTTGGCATCTCCTGGGAGCTTGTTCGAAATGCAAGATCACAGCCTTGCCCCTGAACTACTGAACAGAAATTTTAACAAACTACGCGTGAAAGTTTGAGAAGCTGTTAGAATACTACCCCTGCGGCTTACTGCCCGGGTGACTATAACAAAATCACCTGATTTCTCTGATTTTTCACGTGGACAATGAAGATCTCGATAACACAATATAGAGATGCAGCTATAGTGCAAATCCCAAACAGTCCTAGGTTTTAATCATGGTTCTTCCAGTAACTATATCTTGGCAAGTTGCCAAACTCTATGAGCCTCAGTTTCCTCATCTGTAAAACTGAGGTAATAATACCTGTTTGACAAAGCTGATGTCAGAATTACAGGAGATAATGTATTTACGCAAAGTGCTCAGCACATTGCTTGAGTACCAGGACTCAATCAAAGGTATGTACGCTTGTTATTATTGTTGTACAGTTATAATTACTGTTATTATCCTCCCTGCACACCTCACAGGAGAGAGGGATTGTGAGACTGAGAGAGACAATGTATGAAAAAAAAATGCTTCTAACCAAGGAACTCAGAGTACAGTCTTTACTGATCTGGAAACTGAGGCTCACAGAGGTGAAGCAACTTGTCCAAGCTCGTCAAAGCAGGAAGGGGCAGAGCCTAGGTTGGCACTACCACCCTCCAATCTGGCATAGCTCACATGGCTGTGGGTGACTCTGTGTTTACCTGCTCTTCCTCCCACCAGACTGTGAGCTCTTCCACAAGCTTGCTACCATGGTGCTGGCCCACTCCCTGCCCACAGTGGGTTCCACATTTGCTGAATGCAAGTTTGGACCACATGACCTCTTTAACCCATGGTTTCTGCACCACCCCAAACTATCTCCCTTGGTAAGGCACTGGGGTGCCTCAGTACCTTGCTTTAAGAAGTTGAGTACTGCTATTAATCTTAATTACAACTTAATACAACATTTCATCTGGAGACCAAAGCTCCACCAGGAATTCAGTATGGAAATTCAACTTTAAGCCCCCGGGGAAAATCCAGAAGAATGGGAACTCTGGCTGGGTGGAGAATAGGGTGGGATCTTTCACTTGTCTGAGAAAAGCCATAAGCTTTCATTAATCAGGAAAGAAAAAAAAAAAGCCAGGTTCTGACAGAACTGTTGACAAAGGAACTTCAGAAGCAAGACTGCAAGCAAAGCAGAATCAGGACTTTGTCGGCTGGTTGACAAATACCCGACCTACATATGCGGACTTGTCAGAAAGCGAGTCCTGGCCAGAAACAGCCTTTACCCATGAAAGCAGACTGAAGGCTGTGGATCCTAAACAAAATGGACCCCAAGTAGATGTGGAATGAGCTGATGTGACTGGGAAAATTCCTATTACATGGGACCGCAGAGAGCATAAACTAAGAAGGTAGATTTAAACAAAAGGTAGCATTTTTTACAATAAATTCAAATGGACAAAGTGCTCTAGTTTAGTGAAATCCTGCAGACCATTAAGAGGACACATCTAAGAGAAAAGCATGGGCAAAAGCCTTGAAAAGACACTTTCCACCAGAGAAGATCCAAATGGCACAGCCAGTAAGCATATGAAAAAAGTGCTCAGTATCAATTGGTAATCAGGACAATAAAAAATAAAGCCATGACAAACCATTACACTCTCCCCCAGACAGGCAAAAATTAAAAAGTCAGATAAAATAAAATGTTAGCAAGAAGGTGGACCATTGCCCAGCTGGGTATGGCTCACTGGTTGAGCATCGACCCAGGAACTAAGAGGTCACCAGTTCGATCCCCAGTCAGGGCACATGCCAAGGTTGCGGGCTTGATCTCCAGTGCGGGGTGTGCAGGAGGCAGCAGATGATTCTCTCTCATCATTGATGTTTCTATCTCCCTTTCCCTTCCTCTCTGAAATCAATTAAAAATCAATAAAAATAAAAATTTTTAAGAGAATGTAGACTCTCAGATACTACTAATAGGAGTGTAAATTTGGGATAACTAATTTTTAAAAGAGCTTGCTATTACCTAGCAAATTTGAGGATATGCATGCCTGTGATTCAACAAGTCCTCTCCTAGTTATCTACACACCCCTAGTTATATGTTGGTGTATGTGTTTACAGGATAATATGTTTGGGAATGTTCACAGTAGCATTCATTGTCCCTAACACCCTAAAACTGGGAACAATCCAAAATGTCCATCAACAGAGGAATGAATAAATTTGTAGTCATACAATAGAAATTTATACAACAATGAAAATAAACACACCCAACATGAATGGCATAATGCTGAGTGAAAGAAGCAAGACATAAAAGAACACAGACAATATGATTCCATTCATATAAAGTTCAAACATAGGCAAAACTAAACAACACTTGTTAAGGAAGGCAGATACTGGTGGTAGAATTGTAAGGTAAAGGAAGGAAAAATGATGATCCTCAAAGTCATAGGAGTGGAGAGGGAAGCGATGAGCATGAGGAGGGGCCTCTGGGTGCCATCAATGTCCTATTTCTTGACTTTTATGGGACTTAGGGGATTTCACACATTAGTGCATTTAAAACTGTGTAATGCTTAATTAGTCACTTTTCTTTATGTATGTTGTATTTTACAGTAAAACAAAAGAAGAAAGAAAAGACAAATGTAGGACAAGCTAAAACAAAAACAAAAGCCCTGTTTGGAATTATCTGAATTCATCCCTGAGTTCTGACAGTGGCCAATTCAGTCATGTGCGGCTTAGAAGGATTTCTATGGGGCTGAAGACATAACTACAGAGGATGGAGGAGAGAATAAGAGATCAAGGAGGGTGACAGAGGAAGAAAGTTACTGAAGACCTGTATGGATGGAGAAGGAGGTTATCTTCAGGGTTTATGCCTGGAACTTCTACCTCCTTCAAGACCTCCCCTGTAAATCCCTGTGGATCCCAGGTAGTTAGTCACCCTGTCTCAAGCAACCCTTTGCATTCTGTACTTATATCCATAAGCACATTTACTGTCATGTTATAATGCTTTGCCTTCCCATGTGACATCCTCAAAGACAGTGGGTAATTTTTGCATCTTTCCTGTCTTCTCCTTAAGACGGTGCCTGGCCAGGAGGAGACACTCAGCTGATCCTTGTAGAATGACTGAATGGACAAGAGAATGCTTTACCTTCAGCTGCAATTCCTTGTATCTCTTAGACATCCGAATGAGCAACTTCTCCCCATTGATCATAGCAGACTTTTCTTGGTAATACTGGACCATTGCCTGAGCAGCTTCTGTGTAAGCCATCTCTAAAAAGGCCTAGGAAAGAATGGTAGGACATACATTGGACTCGGCATGAATGGTCTCAAACTAAATTTAGTACAAGGTATGATTCCAAGTATATGGAGCTCAAGAATAGGCAAAACGGCCTGGCTCAGTGGTTGAGCATCGATCTATGAACCAGGAGGTCATGGTTCAATTCCCGGCCAGGGCACATGCCCAGGTTGCAGGCTCAGTCCCCAGTAGGGGGCATGCAGGAGGCAGTCAATCAATGATTCTCTCTCATCATTGATGTTTCTATCTTTCTCTCCCTCTCCTTTCCTCTCTGAAATAAAAATAAATAACTAAATAAATATAAATAGACAAAATAAATCAATGGTATTAGAAATTCAACATCTGCCTGGGGTGGGGTGGGGTATTGACTGGAAAGGGGGCATTAGGAAACCTGAGGTTCTGGAAATGTTCCATATTTTGATCTGGGTGGTAATTACATGGGTGTACACATGTAAAAAATTAATGGTGTTGTGCCCTTAGACTAGTGCACTTTAGAGCATGTATTTCATACCGCAATAAAAATAAAAAATAAAACAGTAAAGGAAGAGCTCTCTTTGATCCCATCTGTTCAAAGAGACCTATTTATTAACTTCACCAAAAGAGCTCATTATAAGATGACCCCTCTCCGGATCCCCATGGTTACCAAACATTCTTCTTAATTATGTATGCCCATCCTGGGCTACGATGCCACAGAGTCCCTCTGCAATGGGAGGGTCCATTACCAACAGCTTCCCAGGGGAAGGGGTGAGACAGGAGGGAGTGAGTTCACTGCACAATGGATCTCAGGCCAATCCCTGCAAAAGTTGCCCGTCTGTGGTGGCAATGGCAGAAGACAGGGGCACAGGCCCTGGGTAGTGAGCTCTCACTTTTTTTGTGAAAAGAGAAATAAACTAAAAAAAAAAAATTCAGGGGCTCTCTAGGCTTAAAGGAAGGTCATGTCTTTGCGAGTTAAAGAGAGAGGAAAACCCTGTTGGGTTTCCACAGCAGTTTTCCTCTTTATTTAACTGTTGTGATAAAACACACACACACACACACACACACACACACACACACACACCAAAGAAATGGTCTTTTCCATTCAACTGGTGTCTATAGAGACTTTCTAAACAGCCTGTTTTGACTGACCTGTCAGTTTACCCCAGTAGCTATTGTGGGGAATTCATTATCATTATTATTTCTTAGATTTGTTTGGTTTGTACCATCTCATCCCTCAGTATTGAGGAAGAAGTGGTCTGTGAGAAGGGGGCCCTGACTGTGAATGTCAACTCTCCCACTGCCTTGAACAAAGTCCTCCTCCTCCTTCCCTCACATTTGTTGTTTAAGGGAGGTATGCTTTTCTCCACGCTGTCGCAGTCTTTGGCAGTGTGTGGGAGACGAGGAGTCAAGATTACTTAGAGTTTTTTTTCAAATTCTGCCACCCAGCTTTCTAATTGCCTCTTTGTTCATGAAAACATTTTAGCACCTCTAGCTCTCGCCTGTCAAATGCAAATAATATTAATTCAATGACTTTCACTGCACTACTGTTACAGGCTGAATTTTGGATATTTACCCAAAATAGAATTATGAGAAATAGGAACAAAGAGACAAGGTGAGCTATCTAAGCCCAGGCTGATGGAGAAAGACCATTGGGGATCCGATGTGGCTTTGAGTCTCCAAGGTTCATGCTTTAATTAAGAAAAGAATTTCTTTTATGCCTGTTCCTCTGATTCACAAAGTAAAAATATTTAACAACCAAATACAAAAATTCTTATTTCTGTCCATTCTCTGTAAAACTCTCCCTCTGACTTTAGAAATGAAGACAAACACGCACTCCCAAGGACTCAGTCCATCCCCTTAGTTCCTAGACTTTCCAGGCACCCATCAATTCCCACCTATTGGGCCTCAGAGGGTAACACCAAGGATGCATGAAAATTCTTGCTCCCAAGTCAGTTGCTGGCTGGCTCAAAATCCAGGCCCTCAGCTATGAGAAGCTTAGAAGGCAAGACTAGCATTAGCTCAGAGGATTGGATATCAATTTGGGGGGCCAGCTTTTCTATGCTATTGAGTACCTCATTCCAAAGCACCTCCTCGCCTCTAGGCAACTTGCAAAGGCCTGTAACCATCACAAGAAGGGTAAGGTGAAACAAGGGAGACAAAACGTCACCTCTGTTTGTTGGTTAAGACCAATGGAAGTCCAGCTGTGCAATACCTCTTTATGCTAAGGACAGCTTCTTTAAAAAATAAAATAAAATAATATATATATAGTTAGTATGGATAGACCACCAATTTGTGATCTCTCTGGTACATACCCGTGTGAAAATGCCCAGACCTACCTGATTAGTAGACTTCATGAGGATGTAATTGGTGACCTTTCCAAAGGGCAGCCCCAAGTTAATGACGTCATTCTCAGTGCAGCTCCCCTCGGGAAGATTGCAGATATGCACCACGCGGCCAGTGCCCGTTTTCCGCTGTACAAACTAATAGAAACAAAGAGCAGTGGCGGGTCTGCAAAAGACATTTCCCTCTTGGCCTCTATTCCGGTCGTTCCTAATGGCTCTCTTCCCCCAAATGATGATCGCAAAACTACAATTTACAAAATTAATGCAGAAAAGAATTCACTCACACACACACATATAAGGCATGGATTTTATGCCATCTCTTTACACAACAGATTCACAACATTTTTAATGGACAATCACATCCAGGGCTTTGAGGAAATAAGCTAATGTTGCTGGTGGGAGGTTACCGACAATCTTTCGAGACTACACGTGAGCAATAGTTAATAAAACTTAAAAGATACATAGCCCTGATTCTGCCATCCCACTTTTGGAAATCCATAAATGCATCAGTATGTAAATACTTATGTACATGGGTATTAGTCACAGTAATTTAGGAGATGACAAAAAAAATTGGAAACAGCCTGGACGTCCAAAATAGGGGACAAACAATGGAAAACTACATAGCCATTAAAAGGAGGAGGTAGATGAGCTGACAAGAAATAATGTTTAAGATAAATTAAGTAAAAAGACAGGTTGCTGATTAGCATGCCATTTTTGTAAAGCAAAACAAAAAATAAATAAAAAATGTATGAGAAAGAGCCCAGCTGGTGTGTCTCAGTAGTTGAGTATTGACCCATGCACCAACAGGTCACATGCCCGGGTTGCAGGAAAATCCCCAGCAGTGGGTGTGCAGGAGGTAGTTGATCGATGCTGATGTTTCTCTCTCATCAATGTTTCTATCTCTCTCCCCCTCCCTTCCTCTTTCTCTAAAAATCAATAAAAACATATTTAAAAAATAAAATTTTAAAAATATATGAGAAAGAGATAGACGATGCAAATGTTATAAAATTTTGGTAATTATTGAAATTGGGGGATGGGGATACAGAGCTACTTATACTAGTCTTGACTGTTCTGTTTAAAATTTTCCCCAAAGGAAAAGCTGTTAAAGGATATCAGACCAGAAGCGAAAGGTATTATGGGAGGATACTTATCAACACTGGGTATCTACAAAGAGCAGAATAGGAAGGGAGGAAGGGAAGCGATGTTTAACCTTTTCCTTATATATCTCATATCATCTCACTTATAATTTTTTTAAATTCCAGTAAGGAAAACAAGAGCACAGACAGGATTTGTGGGGTCCCAATGCATTGACATACACATTCACAGCAACAGCGGTTTAAGGAACTGGCTTTCAAAGCTTTGTTGACCTTTGGGATCCTTTCTTCAAACAAAAGCTTGCTCACCAGGCTAACATATGGGACATGTAAGAGTTGCTGCTCTGCACAGAGCTTGTGGTCCAGCACCCTGCTGCCGCACTAGCCAGCAATCCCAAGGCACCTCTAAGGAACACAGTTTGTAAGCCAAAACCAGGGCCTAATCAAAGCTCCCAGAGGAAGGAAGTGTGTCTGTTTGGTCTGTGCAAACCTTAATCAGTCTGAGTCTCCAGAAGGTTTGAGAATTAGTGAAATCATAAGCCAACCCAACGTGCATGAGAAGGATGCAATTTTCCAAACCCAAAACACACTCTAACAGCATAGCCTGCATTTGCATAATCACCATTTTCTACGATAAAGTGAACTTCAACATCTAATTACATGAATGAGGGGGCTGGCTTGCTATGGTAACAGTGGGAAAGTCGGAGGGCTAACAAGGGCTAATACCTGGGTAATTCGACCACAGAAAGCCCTCCCTTCTCCCATCTGGGCTGAGGACAATTAGAAACTATAAGAAGTTCCTTTTATGGTTCAGCCCTGAGATGGAGAAACCCAAGTGCCCCTTTCAGATTTCCCCATCTGCCATCTCACACTTTCCCGATGGAGAACAGGACTCCGGGTGTGACCCAGGTGGGCCCCAGGGCTCTCCAGGGATGACAGGAGCAGGGCACTTAAGAGGTAATATCTGTGCCTCTCGTCAGGGTCGGCGGGCCACATAAAGACACAGGCCCAGTCGAGACAAAGTGGCTGGTCCTCTGAGTTTATCAACAGGAGGGCTGAGGCTGGGCGCTCTGACCCACTGCCTCCCAGCTGGGCACGTTCCTGCCACATGTGACTTTGTGTGCTTGGCCTGGGCTAACGTGTGCTTGGACAGCAGAGCAGACACGCAGGGCGGTTCAGGGCCGATCCCCTCTCCAGTTGCCTAGTGACCGGCACAAGGGCCAGCGCCTCTCTCATTGTCTCCTCCAGGCTGAAAAAGCAACTGGAGAGGCTTTTATTGGCGTGTGAGTGCAACAAAAGCTGCTGCGGGCTGTGGAACAGGCCTCGGAAGAATAAACACCCTCGCAGCTGCCAGTCACCCAAGAACGAGACGAATTCATGCTGCAGACCTCCTTAGAGAGGCCCTGTAATGAATGGTCTCAATTAAGGTTTGCACTGAAATTTTTAAATGCATTCCATGAGCGCTTTTTTCCTCCCAAGATTTTCAGTCAAAAATAGAAGTTGGATTGTACTGAGCCTTTTCTTGTCCTTTAAGGTAATCACGAGATCTTTAATATTCCTCCACTTAATTATGTTCATATGGAGCTTCCCAACTGGCGAACTGCAGATGGGATCTCGGGATGCCAGGATACTGACCCCTCAGGTGGAGGCCAAGTACCTCCAGTGACCACAAGCAGCCTCTTCGGTTTATCATTTTCTGAGTCAGCCATGATATAAAAATCTTTGAGATTTGAAAATCTTGAGAATCTCTGTGTTAAGGGTTTGCTTTGCATTGTGTCTGGCTTCTTTGCATGTGACAAACCCCATCCAATTATAAAACAATGTTGTATGAGTTACAGGCATACCTCATTTGATTGCACGCTGTAGCACTGTTTTTTACACATTGCAGGCAAGACCCTCCACCCACAAAAAGATACGTCTCTCTGAAGGCTCAGATAATGGTTGCTAGCATTTTCTAGCAATAAAGTCTTTTTAGATTAAGGTGTGTACATTGTTGTTGTTTTTCCAACAAAATGCTGTTGCACACTTTATAGACCACAGTATAAACATATGCACTGGAAACAGCAGTGTTAGTGTGACTCGCTTTATTGCAATTCGCTTTACTGCCTTGGTCTGGAACGAACCCACAAAATCTCCAAGGTGTGCCTGCATATTCCTTTGCAAATACTCTGTTTAGGACAGTTCAGTCTGCATTCTTTTCTGCCATCAAGCTAATATAACTCTTTATTAAACCCAAATAGGTTCAAAATCATATTTGATTTGTAATACATATATATATATATATATATATATCTGAAACACTTTATATAGACGTAGCTATTATTGCTGTAGGCGCTATGGCAAATTCAAATGATGAGTGAGAATGTTAGGGAGGGAGGGAAGCAGGAAGGTGAGGAAGGAAGAGTGGACTTTAGGTGGTCCATCGAAAGTAAAATTTGTTCACTGGGGGCACAGACAACCCTGAGTGCCCTTGAGCAGCATCATGCTGTACACATTCCCAGCCCAGGTTCTCTGACAAGTCCTCAAGGCAGTGGTTCTCAACCTTCCTAATGCCGCGACCCTTTAATACAGTTCCTCATGTTGTGGTAACCCCCAACCATAAAATTATTTTCGTTGCTCTTCATAACTGTAATTTTGCTACTGTTTTGAATCGTAATGTAAATATCTGATATGCAGGATGTATTTAGGTGACCCCTGTGAAAGGGTCATTCGACCCCCAAAGGGGTCGCGACCCACAGGTTGAGAACCACTGCCTTAAGGGGTCTCTATATAATAATATCTGAAGGGAGGGTCATTATTTTTGACATTGAAAAAAACCTGAGTTGAGATCATACTTTGAGTTTCTTTTCTTTTTTTTTTTTTTTACTTTGAGTTTCTTGACTCTATCCACATGGCACCCTGGTTAGATCTTAGGTTGATTAGACAATCTGACTGGCGTGTCTGTGTTTCTGATGAATAAAAATGGGTGGCTAGTTAATTACTCACTAATATAAGTACTTTGGCAGATCCAGTACTTTTCCAAACATGGAATGCAGGATAGTGGCTGCTTGAGGTAGAAGTAAATCATTAAAAGGGGTTTTGGCTGGGAAAAGCTCGGACTTCCTGAGGTAGTGGAACGAACATAATTCCGGAAGACAGGGGCTCTGGACTCACTGATTAGGTACGTGACAAGAGCAAACTAGTTTTCCATTCTAGGCCTTAGTTTCCCAGCGTCTGGAATGAGGGAGGTGGCCTATACGTCTGAAGTCCTTTCCAGATGTAAAATATCCATGCTTATGTGGCTCTAAGTTTTAAAATTCCACTCCTCCCAGAAGCCTTGCCAAGCTAAACTCTAAAATCCAGGATAATGATAACTTTCCCCAACCGTGTTGGGCATAAACAGGAAACCTATGTCTTTCCCACTCTCTGTCCCAGTGAGCGTAATGTCTGTCCTCCCTCCCTATGCGAGCATCTGTGTCAGCATAAATACAGTCACAAGCACGTCCATCTTTCAGACATGCCTGTCTGTGTCGGTGGTGGCCTCATCTTTAAAGGGCTGAAGATGAGCCCCACACAGTGAGCACCTTGCTGACGAGCTCTGCCATTCCCTGAGTGACCCTGTGTCCAGTGCCTACAACAGTGGACATGATATCCTGAGATGAGCGAAGGGGACACGGGCCCGGTCCCTCTTCAAGGGCAGACACACATCAAGTGTGTGCCTCGTGGTCTCCAGGCACCAGTGCCAGGGCCATGGGAGTGTCAGAGTGTAGACCTGGATCAGAATCTGCTCCCCCGGGACCCACCTTGGGCAAGTGACTGAATTTCTCTAAGCCTGAGCTGGCCTGTCTATAAAACAGGGAAAATAAAAATTGATTCCACACGCCTGTTCAGAAGACAAGAGTGCCACAATGTATGTAAAGTGCCTTGGTGCAATGCCTGGCGTAAAGCTGGCTCCTTTCCGCCCACAGTATAAGAATGTGCCGTGGTGATTCTAGACTGAGGGGGTGGGGGGGATATAACTGTACTGTGATTATGTATGAGAAAGTCTGTGTTCTTAGGAAATTC